TAATGTGATAGCAAAAATTGGCAGCAACCAGCTTCAGGAAATGCACAAGAAATGAACCCTAGTAGAACGTTAGTTATCAGACATAAACAGAAGCCAATAAGCATTCAAAGAAAACGCAACTTATTCCTACAGTGCACTGAATATTTACTACTAAAAAATTTTGAACATCCTTTTCCAAAATGCGACTTCATCAACTTTAGCCAAGTATCTGCAAATTTCATAACAGTATAGCAAGGTTAAAGATGTGAGTCTCAAACTTCCAACAAGGTTATGGCAAGAGGTAAGAAATCAAGTTCACAACAGCTCCAAGAGACATCAATCCTGTAAATTTTACAATAATAACAAGGAAAAGGGTTAAGAAATGTAAACATAAAATAAAACAACAAACTTGGCAGATAGAATTGGTATATTCACATGAGAAGCATGAAAACAGAAAGAGAATTTTCTCATAGGAAAGTATACCATGAGATCCAAGCATCATCAAATCCATCACTACAATATAACATTACATAATTATAATCTTAATCATTGAAAAGGCGGTTGCAAATTTGTAAACTTGTATCAGACTTTTTTTAATGGCATAGTAAAGCAATAAAAAAATTAACACGTGGTTATTCTCACTCGTAACTTGAACTTCCTAACCTTTCAAGGTCTCGACTCTATATTATACATGAGCATTTGTATTCGTTTCACATATAGGAGAAGATTAGCAACCAAAATCCAACAGGCAGCGATGAAAAATATAAAGGTTGCATTTACAAAACAAGCAGTTGGCTTATATGGTCATAACCAGAACAATATGTAGTAAAGAACATCAGATGGTTAAGTGGTTGTTTATAAAAAAATGAAACCAAAAACTATAAAAACAGCATATAACTATAGAAGGAAACATGTTTAACTCATTACCTTGCGTATGATTATAAATGGAGTATCTGCATCACTTCATCTCCGCCATGAACTTCTCATACTCAGCATCTGCACCATAGGTTACTTTCTCTACAGATGAGGCTGTTGGAGGCACAGGAGGATTTGGTGCCCAAGGTACATTACTAAAGCTCTGGAAGTGGTCTGCCAAAGAATTAGGTTCTGGAGGAGGAGGAGGAACTGCATTATAATAAGAAGAGTAACCTAATGAAGACATTGGGTATGCAGTTTGTGAATTAGGCGGTATTGCAGTCATTGAGTTCCCATATATATTTGTCGGAACAGCTGGGGCAGAGGTAGTGTTTTCAGATTGCACTCCAGGTGGGAAATCTTGTGGCATTTCTCTACATGTCACAGGTGGAGGTGGAACACCTGGGGGAACAGTCTGTATATGTGGGGGATATTGCAAGCCATAAGGTGGCATAGACTGACCTGCAACAGGAGGATACATGGTTGATCCAGGAGGAGGTGGAGGAGGAGCATAAGGAAGAGGAACTGGCGGTCCCCATGGAACTGAATTCCCAGCATAACTAGCAGGAGCAGCATTAGTAAGGGGACCTCCTGTTGCAAATTGCTGTAACGGATAGGCACCAATTGGCAGACTAGAAACAGGACCAGTGCCAACTGATGATGTAGGAGGAGGACCAGGAGGCACAGTAGGTTGAGGTGGCTTGCCAGCAACTCTCACAGCAATGGTTCTTCCTTCTAGACGATAACCATTCATTCCCTTAATAGCATTGTTTGCCATGTCAACGTTGGCATACTTCACAAAACCATACCCCTTACTCAATCCAGTAACCCGATCCTTAATTACCTTTGCCATCACAATATCACCATAAGATGAGAACAAACTGATCAAACTATCGTCATCGAGATTGGGAGGTAAGTATCCAATGTACAAATTAGTATCATCATATTCCTTGGGGGGCTTAACTGCGTTGAACCCTAAGCCAGGGTGTGCATTTCCACTGTTGCTAGCCCAAGGAGGATTGCTTCCAGAAGTAACAGATGCAGAGTTTTCCTTGCTTGCAGAATCAGGAACAGTACCTCCTAACTCGGCCAAAAAATTCTGGTATTCATCATCCATTTTCTTCCCTGTTGTTCCTTTCATTGGACAATCAATTGTTGGATGCCCGCCATCACCGCAAATCTGACATAAAACATCACTCTTAAAAGTAGAAGTGCGTGAAGGACATGCATATTGGCGATGACCCGGCTCTCCACACAATCTACAATACTCTTCATCTCTTATTGTTCCATTCAAAGAAGCCAACTCCCTCAACTGTTGCCTCTTATGCTCGTTCAACACCTCATCAACAGGATGCAAGAGCTTTTCCAACATTGCTGCAGCAGCCTCAAGTGATTCTTGTGTTTCAGCCTCAACCAAAACATGCAAATCCTCATTCTCGGAGGGATCAGGCTTCATATCCCTCTTCTGTTGAAACCTACCTTCCTTCACCGAACCTTTACCCCGAATTACAATCTTCGCACCCATTTCCTTCTCCATCCTCTTTTGGGTATTACCCCTTGGCCCAATAATCAACCCAATAAAATTGTAACCTGGGTATTCTTTCATCGGATATAAAGTTTCTTCTGAAGTTTGGGTGGCCTATAGTCTGCTGGCGGCTTGAATGCTGGATTCTTCTTAAGAATCTGAGATATAATTTCTTGTCTCTCTTTGTTCAATCTCTCTCTAGCCCTATATTCTCTGGTATTAATCCTAATTCCCATATTATCATATATAGGTTCTGGAGAAGGTGACCTAGCACCCTCAGGCCTATCATCCAAAGGTAAACCGGACTGCAACATTCTACTAATCTCTAGCAACCTACTATTCAAAGCCTGAATCTCAGGGTCAAATTGGATACCTCCAGTGAAATCTTTCATGAAATCAGGGAGCTGAATCACCGGCTTAGGCTCATCATCTGCCCATCGGGACTTCCTCTTCTTGTTCCCACTACCCGTCTCACCATTCCCGTTCTGGTTTTCGTTCGAATCCGAATGAGGGTCCCAACGGCTCCTCCTCCGCCTTCGGCTGCTGGTTTCCTCTTCTCCGCCGGAACAATCCTTGTCGGCGGTGCTGCTCTGCGTGTTAGTTAATCCATTTTCCGACAGTAGAGGCTTATGAATCTCGGGTTTCGTTGAAGAAACGTTGTTGATAGTATCGGAACCGGCTTCGTAATTAATCTGGCTACTGTTTCTATTACGCCCATGGTCAGGAGCAGATCCTAGGGTTTGGGAAGGATCTGAAGATAAGGCCTCCGAAGGCTGTGGTAGTGGCGGCGGGTAATCGGTAGATAGGGTCTGAGCAGAATATGATTGGGGATCGTTGGGGTTGGGGTAGATAGAATCCATTGAAAGCAAAGTCGCAAGGTAGGGTTTGAGTTTCGTTCGGCAGAAAGCGCGAGAGAACTCAGAGAAGAAAAATAAATTTGGGCAAAATAAAGAGTAGACTTAGTCAAATAACAATAACAAGGATAAACTACACGATTAGTACCCCGCTATTATTTTTTTAAATTAACATCTAATGTTACATTTTAATTTCATTTTGGTTACTTATTGTTAAAAAATTAATATAATTATTGACGTAATATTTTTTAAAAATTCAATAATGATATTACATTATCTTATAGTGATACGTTGGCATCATTTTTAATTTTTTAACGATGAGTGAGCAAAATGAAATTAAAATATAATATTAGGTATGATTTAAAAAAATAGTTAGGTGACCAAAACAAAACAAATATAATAGTTAGAATACTAAACATTGTAATTTACCCTAAAAATAATATGTAGTCTAAATTAAAATTAATTATATTTATTTTATAAAAATATTTTTAAGTTATAATTAATAGGATAAAGTATACTAATAATGGTCACTAAACTTTTAAGACTTTTTTTATTTTAATCATTAGATTTTAAAAATTTATATTATAATCATTAAACTTTTAATTTATTTTCATAAGGGTCACTATTAATAAGAAATATCAATGTGACAGCCACCGTAAAGGTTATTTTTCAATGAATGGAGCGGTTGTGAATCATTCCTAACCAAAAAGGTTTTGTTTGGTTAAAATATTAATACACATTGGTTGTTGATCCAACCGTCAATAGTGATGGAACAAAAATAAAATTAATCTTTAATTTCTATTGGACCATTGCATGCTTTCATCATCTTGGTGCTTTCTTTGATCGAAAAGATAATTAAACTACTTTTTTTCTCTCTTTTTTTCTTTTAATTCAAACTTGTCATAAATCTTTTAATCTCCTCAAACTCAAATTAAATCTCAATTAAAATTAAGAGGGCAAAAAGATTTGCATATAAATCTAGGGATGGACATGGGTTTGAGATAAACCCGATCCGAAAAATATATACCTTCCACCCAATCTAAACCCGACTCGATTTTTTGAGATAAAATCTGAACCCGGTCAGACCCGATTCGAAATAATAAAAAAATTATTTTTATTCAATAAAAATAATGATTTAATTGAATATATATATATATATATATATATATATATATAAAGAGAGAGAAAGGGATATTATTGTAATTATTCTTAAATATATAAGATAAAATTATATTTTCTGGGTCGAGTCGGGTATTTTTCACCCTAAACCCGAATAACACCTTTAAAAACTAGACCCGACCCAAACCTAATTTTTTTTAAAAACCCTACCCGACCCGGGTCGAGTTCCATGCTCATCCCTATATAAATCTATTAAACTCATATTTAATTCTTAAATATTGAGTTTTAATTATTTTATTCACAAATTTTTGAAAAAATAAAACATCTTTACAAAATACTTACCATCATTTAGATATAAGATTTTCGGATACTTTTCCAATTGAGTTGGCGTTGATGATGCAGATAAGTAAGCCAACAAATATGCTAAGCTATAGGATAGGACTTGATTACTTTAAAGGATTGTAATGTATTTAAATATAGGTATTTTCCTGAGCAAATACAAGTGTAATAATACTGTTCCCATAATTCCTCTGTGTGTGTATATTATGAAAAAATTCCAATATAAATTTGTAATTTTAGATGATATAATAATAGTAGGGTTCTTCCAGCTAGACTCGCCTGTTGTTGATTGAAGAGGTGGGAGTAGAAAGAGCCAACCAAGTTCTGGGTGAGGAAGGTGATGAGTATGCTCCTCTTTGCTCCCTCATCTCCTTGTCTTTCTTACCATGTATCATCTGTAAAAAAAAAATTGCAATCACAATATTGTCAGTTTCCTCTATGTTTGAAACAAATTAATGACAAGGGTATTATGGGAACATAGATATATATACTCGTGGCATGGAAGTAGAGGGTGTTAAATTATGTCTTCTCTGATATGTGAGTGGACAAGGTGAGCTGTGAGAATGAGACCCACAATATCCGTTCTCTTGGATGTTGCCAGGGACCTCATTCAGGTTGATGATGAGACCATTTGCATTTTGGGTGGTGGGTAAGTATTTGACAATGGAAGAGGTGACAGAGGGAGGAGTGGTGATCGGAGCTAGGTCCTCATTGGGTGGCCATAGGAAGGTCCCTTGTGGTTTGCATATCCTGAACCCACTCTTCAGCCTTTCAATTTTTGATGCTTTCTCCTCTCTTGTTACAACTGGGCTTCTTCTTTTTCTAGCAACTGATGGCTTCTTTTCCTCTTCCAGTACACTTCTGTCACTTTCAATGCTTAAAGGTGGCTTTGTTGATCCCATTAGCACTAGTGCATTTGCAGCTTCCATTTTAGACTTCAGCTTCCCCATCTCTTCCTGTATCATTCATCCTTCCCATTTTCATCATCAGGATTCCGAGAAAAATAAACACAGTTCAAAGTTCAAACAGTACGTGAGCTTCTATCAGGGGGAACTACTAGGTGATGAATACCTCCACTCCACACAAAGATTTTCCAATTTCACCCAGCTGCCCCTCAAGTTTATCTTTCAATTCCATCAAGTCCACGTACTTTTCCTGAGCAACAAACCAAGGATTTTCTATTAGTTAAAAGAGCCATATGAATGGTAAACAAGATGAGTACTGATCAAGAAGCCTTAATAAATCTACCTTCAACGGAAGTAACATATTGGCTTCACGAACCATGTTTTGGCTTATATCACAAGAATTCGGGGTGATGACAAGAGCTAGATTTTCTTCAGTCTTTTTGTTATCGATCATGCCCCTTTTAACCATAGAGCACATATATAGACCAGTATCAGCAATGAAATGCTGCTCCTAAGGGATAAAGAACACATGTACAACTGAGGTGAATGACAAACAAGTAAAAAAGAAGAAAGGGTCCATACTTTTTTAGCTTGGCTATCTCTTCCCTAAGCTCCTTGAGCTCTCTAGCACAAACTGGATCCTGGGTTGGGTCATCGCCAAGCTTCCAACCAGGAGGTGGGATCCAATAAGGATCCTGCACCCCAGCCTCCTTCCTGATATCCATTAAATCAGCACTCTCCAACCAATACTCCATTGCCCCATCTGCATTATGGCGCCTCATGAATCTTTCTTCACCTCCAGGAGCCACCTTCCAAGCCATGTGTTTCAGCAAATGATCCAACAAACCAGTGTCCCCAATCAGCTTCCTAGCTTCTACTCTCAGTGCTGGCCTGAGTATTGGGTTCCCAAACACTGCTCCCTTCTCCTTCATAATCTTCAACATGTTTTTCTCAGCTAAATTATACCTTTATTAACATTCATTCATCGAACTTAGAAAACCACCTTTTTATAAAAGAAATTAATTAGTTCAACAAAAATTAAATAAATAAATAATATTGCTCACCTGTGAACAGACCATCTTTCAATGGAGTTCTTGACTTCTCTTCCCTTGCTTGGCTTGTAAAGCGTAATTTGCTGATCATTTCCATGCTTTAGTTTCTTTGCCGTCTGGGCTCTTAAGCTTGCTCCATGGAGCTTCCTCTTAGAGCTCATCCTATCCGCGCCCATAATCACTTCCTCCTCCTCCTCCTCATCTTCTCCTTCATTTTCTTTTTCTTCCTCTTGCTCTTGGACACTTCTTGACCGCGTCTCCTCCTCATAGGTACTCAAGAACCTAACCAGCCTACGCCGACCCCATCGGACCATCCCTACGGATATCAACTCAGACCAGCACAAACCTTTCTTAAGGACCTTGTTGACATAGCTGGTAATGATAGTTGGGCTTGGGTTCTTCCCTATTTCTTGTTCCTTGGGAGAAACCTCCAATACCCAAAAGCTCCATTGATTCCTTTGCACTGCAAGTTCATGTGGCGGGATCCTCCGATATAAAATATCCCCAGCAATCTCCGATACCATCGCATACTGTTCATCCAGTGTAGGTAACATCTTTGTATCCCCTTTTCTCCGGTTCCGCTGGCTGAAATGTGCTCGAAGAGAATACGTGCTTGGATACCTCAATGACACGCTGCACTTGGATTTTTTACTCACCTGGCAAACAAAAGTTAAAAAAAAAACACCAGTTACCCACTAAGATTCAAAAAGGAAACTCAAAACCAAATGCGTTTCATTATATTTTGAATTCACTTGAGGTCAGGTTTATTACCATGATAACACGAACTAACTTGAGTTGGTCTGGGGTTTTAGTTGGAAGCATGGAATGATTAATTTCGTAGTAAGACCCAACTTTGATATGAGAAACAGCATCTGAAAGCGGGCATTAATGGAGGTTAATGAAAAAACAGAACAAAATAAAGGATATAAAAGCATAAAGATGTTGATTAATTTACCAAAGGTAGAATCAGGTGAAGAAGGGAGCAACAATTGTCTGCCCAAACAAATGTTCACTGTGGCGTCCTTAGACCACTCCTCTGATTCTTGCCTTTTCAAGTGAATCATCTCCTGAAACATTTCCAAACAATATCTGCACTAATTGTTGTACGTGAATACTGAATTCTAAATTTTAACCCAGAAAAAGAAAAAAAAACGACTGGAAAGGAGGGTTTACGCGCGAGTAGTAGACAAAAGGGTTTTGCTGCTTTTGCATGTCCGCGGAAAAAAGAAAACGTCACTTTCGTTTAGAAGATAGTATATAATACGACGCGTACTTGGTAGTATGAACAGTGGCGAGTGAGGTGAGTGCTCGCGTGCGTGTAACAGAAAAAACAACAATCGAAAGCGGAGGAAAAACTGCGCGCAAACGCAATCAATGAAATGAAAACGAAGGGGAGATAGAGAGAGGAAGAGAGATTACTGTGAGATTCGTAGCAGCAGATGTTTCTTCATCACGTTTAGGCGATATTCGCTCCATTTCTCAGATCTGTTAATTACATAAAAACAAAAGGAAAATCAGTGGAATCCGAAGTGATAAGAAATGATCTGAATGAAAATGCATGGGGGAGTGGATTAGGGTTTACTAGAAGGACTGAGAATTTAAAAAAAAGGAAGTTGATTAATGTAGAAGTGATATTCTAGTTTATCAACATAGCAAAATTTGCAGTTCTCATGGAGAGTTCATATATTAAAAAAACAGAAAGAACAAGAAGTTTAGGAATTCATTAAATGCGATGGTGAAAGTTTTTGTCCGGTGTAGACCGATCAAATGAAAAGCTTAAAAGAAGTAAAAGCAAAAATCAATGAATCCGAAACAATTGCAGACGCATTAGATAATTAGGAGGAAAAGAAGATAAAATCAAACAAGAAAGTTAACAGAATAGGACTTCAAAGTCGGGAAAAAAAACTCTAGTTTGCGAAAATTTTCTCGAGGTTTCCTGGGAACCAATCAAACAGAAAAGCAAAGTAACAGAAATCATAATGGATAAAAGAAGAAGATTATACAGTGGGGGGGGGGGTTGAATCAATCTCAGCTCAGAAGCCTGGAAATCAACTGTGTCTCGAAGAAGTGGAGGATTTGGAAATTAACAATAAAAAACATAGGGCGGACACGAGAGAAGAGAAATTATCAAAGTAAAGGAATTCAGCAGAGATTGTATATATATAGAGTGAGTTGGTGGTGTTTGGTTGTGCAGTATAAATATAAATTGAGAGAGTGAGACTCAGTGAGTGGATGAAGAATTTTCTGTTAGGCTGAAGTGAAAGGCGGGAGCAATTGCAGAGGGAGAGAGAGAGAACGATTGGTTTTGTCTCACCATTTCCTCTACCCCAACAAAATACTTAAAATTCAACTAACTCGTTCCATTAGGTTCGTTACATATATAAAAAAGTCGAGCTTTGAGTTACAGGATACACACACACACACGTTCTATCGACTAGCTATTCTTGATAAGTTTAGTACGAGAGATGGAGTTGAGGATGAATATTATGGTTGAACTTCACTGTATGAATTGTGCTGCTGTTTTGTAGAACAGGGATCACCAATTTTTTGATTAATTAATCTTTTTCTTGTTGCATTTGAAGAAAGGTTATATGATTGTGTAGTTTGGGAAGAGCAGCTTTGAATTGGGAGCATGAATTAGTCTGGACATTTGAAGGAAAAATCTCTGTTAGTTTTTATGTTGAAAATTGCATGGAATACTCATATATATTATGTTTAAAAGGATATTAATTTAGGTGGAAGTCTCAAATTGTTGATATTATATAAAGAATATAGTTAGTGTTAAAGTTAACAGCAATTGCTCAAATCCTGTGAATATTAGGCTGTGTACTGCTTGAGATATCTCATTTTTTGTGAATGAGCCCTTATATGTGTAGCAGGTTTCTACTTGGATAATACATCGACACTTATCCATAAACAAATCGACTTCAAAATTCGATTATATATAAGGAAGATTAAAACACCTCACCATAATCAAAATTAAAACGTTACAAAAAGTTATATTCTCATTTTCTTGTACATAAATGAAAAACAAACAAAAATATTAATAGCAATAATAAATAACATTTAAATAAATAAACATGTTAAAAAATAAATAAGAAAATTAACAATTAATACTAAAAAATTAAATAAAATATCATAATTAAATTGAAAGAAATAGAACTTGCAAAGATTAAAGTAGAAATTAATCTACAAAAATGAGACAAAATTTGTAGTGTGTACAAAACTGAATAATCTTTTTTCAAGCTTTTTTTTTTTCCCGTTATCTCTTTATTTATACTATTCTTATGTTTTATCTCTAGATGTTTGATCATGGATTATCGTATGTGTCATTATTCATTGTCGTACGTTATCGTCAAGTTGAAGAAACTTAAAATTTTGTAATTGCATTCTCGAGAAACTTAAAATATTTTTTTTTAATATTTTAGATTTAATTGAAAATATTAAAAAAATTAATATTTTAATCTATGTTTATCATATTTTCGATTACATTCATTTTTACTATTTCTAAACCTTAAATTAGACTATCGTAATTCCCTGAATCTAAATACAACCTTCAATTTCGTTTGGAAGTGTTCCGAAATCCACGTGTTAAAGTCAAAACTATTTAACTTCTTCCCTCGCCAATCTCTCTCCTCTCCCGTCGGATAGTTTTAATTTTCAGAGTATGTCCTCCCAAATGAACTTGAAAATAGTTTAATCTTTACTTTTATAGTTATACAAATTAAATATTTATATTGATATAATATTAGAAAATTATTAGTCTAGCTCAATGGTTAAATATTTTTGTTATTTATGTCAAAGTTTTAGATTTGAATCCGATATTGAACTAAAATCACAGTCCAATATAACTTAAATACTAGTTTTTGAAATTGGCACAGACAATATGCCTAATTTAATGGCCACGTGCCCGAATTGTTTAGTAAGGGCCCAAGGTTTGAGTCATTTCTTTGATATTTTAAACTTATTTTATTATTATTTTAGAAGTTGTCGGTGATCAAAATAAAAATGACATGTAATATTAAGTATGATTTTAAAAAAATATTTTTTTTACAAAGTCATGACCTAAAGAGATATGAGAGAACAAATATGAGTTCAAGGTATCATTTCAAAAATAAAGTACCATACTGAACATTCAGTCAAAATAAAGGTACCATTTCTGGCATTAACCCCTTCACATTATTAACAATAACAATTTATTCAACCAACACTTCCGTATAGAGTTCCAACACAACCGTTACAGTTCAAAACAACACCAAGGGGGGTTCCTTTTGATGCTTTCATGGAAGCAGCACAACTGATCCAGATGTTATACGATTCTCCAGGTCTTCATGTGCCCTTGCAGCTTCTGACAGAGGGTACTTGTGATTCACCCGAACCCGTACAAGCCCGATGCGACGTAATCAAACCTCCCCAGCCGTTTCGAGCAGCTCATCCTGAGTCGATGTGTAATGCATCATGGAAGGCCTAATCAAGAACAAAGATTTTGCTGCAAGTGCAGACAGCTGAATCAGATCCGGTGTACCAGAAGACTGTCCAAAGCTCACCATATATCCACGAGGCTTTAAACATGCCAAGGAGCCCTACCAAAACTACAACTTTTAGTAGCGGAAGCACACGAAAACCTCAATCAGGAGTACACGATAGTGCTTCATCCCGAAGGAGCAATCGAAAACTCAATATTCAATTACGAGTAGCATAAGGAATGAAAACCGTGATTACCTGAAAGGTATATTTCTTTTCCTACACAATCATAGACAACTTCCACTCCCTTGCCTGATGTTATCTAATCGACACGGGCGACGAAATCCTCCTCTTTGAAAATTATGACATGGTGACATCCATCTTCCTTTGCTTGAGCCACCTTCTCTTCAGTTGAGATGGTTCCGATGACAGTGGCACCAAGTGCGTTCGCCCACTGGCGTAATAAAGATCCAACCCCACGAGCAGCTGCATTAACAAGAACCGTGTGTCCGGACTCAACATGTATTGCATTAAAACAATCAAGCATCAAACCTATGCTATGGTTATAATTATGAACAACTCGTATCCATGCACCCTACCTTGAAGCAACGACGTACTAGAAACTGGGCGGTGATAGCCTTCCGCATGATTGATGTGGGGATAATAGGGTCGACCGAACGAGGCACCAGCACAACTTTGTCCGACGGTAAGTCCATAGGATCACCAGCATAAGCTACAATATCTCCAACTTTCCTGCATGTAAGTCCAGGTCCCACAGCAATCACCTCTCCAACAGCTTCCATACCTGTAATAAAAGAACAAAAGCAAATGATTTCCGTAATAAAGGCATCCTTTTCCGATCCAAGAGGCCGGCGGCTATCTGATCAAATGGAAAAAGAATCCCAATTTAAATTCAGAGGTAAACCAGAGCATCCTGCAGATGCAGAAAACTTTCATGCTAGACATCTTATATCATATCAGCATGGAAAGTTCTGCATTTCTCATAACATAAACCTTCACACAATTCGAACAGACCTGGAGTGAAGGGCATGGTAGCAGCCTTATAAACTCCTTTCCGGTAGTAGATCTTGATGAAATTAATTCCGACTGCTTTGTTTTGAATACGTATCTCACCCTCTTTCGGTTCCTCGAGTTCAACATACTCTCATTTAAGGACCTGTCATCGACGCTGATTGAGTATATGCACAAGAAGACAGTGGTAGGCAAGCCATGCAATCAATTCAAGCAATTCATAGCTGTAAACACTCCAACCTAAACAACTCAGATTCAATTTCTCAGGATATAAATAACATTCACAATAAAATCATTCTCAGTTTTCATCATACACATAATTTCCCAGAAATCCATAGTCAATCAATCAAAATTAAACAAAAAGAAGGGCAAAAGCTGCAACCCTGCAACTGCAAGTGACTAAGCATGAGAACAAGAAAAGCATAGATTTTCAATTTCCCAAAGATCAAACAGTTAACTTTCTAAAAACCAATGATAAATTCAATCAAAATTAAACAAAAAGAAGGGCAAAAACTGCAAGTGACTAAGCATGAGAACAACTAGGACTCAGTACCCGGTACCTTTGCTCCTGGGAGTGTAAGATAAAAAGCATAGTGCTGGGTGTTTTAAAATAATTTAAAATTTGTATTAAATTTAGATCATTTTGATTTCGAATTATTTCAAGATCGAATTATCTGGTGATTTTTTTTATCCAACCGACTGATCACATAACGCCTGACATCAAACTTCCATCAAAATTTTCAATAATTAAACTTGAATTATCTGCCAATAACTAGGAAAAATAATGTACTACAAAAGCGGCTAAAAGTGAATGGTAGCATGAAAGTCCACATTGTGCCGATAATTTAAACCACAAGTTGAACTTTCAAAGCTCCAATTCAAGTCAAACAAAGCTACTACTTGAGTTCAACTATTCAAAGATCAAACAAAGACTTCTCTCATCGTGCATAAAGTCTTTTCCATTATCAGAAGATCTTCAA